CCCAGAGTGGACACTTGCTATGGCTACTATCCCCATTCACTGTGGGACGAGCTTTATAAAGACCTCTTCAATTTAGGTGCCACTGGCCAGGCAAATAAATGCCAAGAATACTTAAGTGTGGCTAAACCTCTGGGGTGATTCATTGTGATACACTGAGATCAAAGATCAGGTTCAATTTGGGAGATGTGTGTGTCTTGTCAATATCAGTCATTTTAGGGCTGAATATTTATATTTGATCTCCTGCAGAACCAGTCAGGTTGTTCAAGGAATAATGCAGCCAAGCTAGACTCCAGTTGGTTAAATCATGACCACCACCCACGGTTTTCATTTGGGGCCACTACTAATGCTCTGTGACCACACACATCCATATAATGGCTATTATAGCACATGACATGACAAGTGGAAAATCTTGTGGGCTGGTAAAAAAATGTTTATGATTCAAAACACCTTTTTACAAGCTGGTGGAAAGCATTCCTACTTGCTGGCTCATCCGGGGGCAGCTGGCTTGGGTGACTGGGGCTCAGTGCCAAGGTGGCCAAGGCCTCAGTTTACTCCAGGGCAGGCGGCCTTTCCCACCCCCAAACTAGACACAGACTTTGTGGTCAGCACCTGAGGACAAGGCAGCAGGTGCCACAGTGAGGGTCAGGGCAGAGACCCCTGGATGCAGTGGGCCACTGCAGCACACGCAGTGCCCAGAAGGAAGGCGGGCGTGTGCCTCTCTGTTCTGTGCTTTCAGGCCTGCTGTGTTTGGTCCCCAGGGCAGTGTGAGGGTGCTAAGGGGCACTGCATTCATCCTGCCAACCCCTCCCCGACCCTGTTCTTCCCCAGTGGCTGTAAAAGCACTTAGGAGCCTTTCTTGCATGGAAGTAAAGATTGAGAAGTGATAAAGGAAGGTTTTTATTAGAAGAGCAGGCACTCTCCTAAATGCCTTGTGGCCCGGCAGACAGGCCCCATTCTGCTGTCAGACGCCTGAGCAGGCACCCATAGCAGCCCAGCCCTCCTGCCCCCGGCAGCCTGATGGTCACCAAGGTCAGGTGTTTGCTCCCAAACTTGCTTATGCTGGGTGTACTTATTACCTAACTGTGTGATCAAATTTTATGTATGCTGGTGAAGAGTGGACATAAAAAAAGATGTTCACAAAACCCAAGTTAAACTTGTAGAAGGAACTGGCAAAGTCAAGCCTCTAAAACTCTTGTTGTTGAATCAGGTGTGGGTGAGTTAAGTATGGGCAAGAAAGGAAAAAAAAGGTAAAAGTAGAAGATTATGCTCTGTATTCTTTGCAAGATCTCCCTGCACTGTAAGTAAATCAAAATGGAAATCACAGGTAGAAGAACATGATGGCTGTGTTTTCTGGCTAGAAAGACTGCAAGGAGTGTCCATGAAATGGCCTTGGCCCTCTACCAAAAGATGGGTGATACATTTACATGTACTGACTTTAATGTAAATTGAAGCAATTTAAATATGGGCATAATTCCCTCCCCCATACACTTTGGACAGTTGTTTCAAATATGTTTCCAACTACTTTCCTGGCTTGGTCAGAAAGCATTCACCTTAAGTGACCAGGCCCCAAACAACAGCTGACTCCCAAATGGGTTGCCATTCTCAAGCAGTATGTGCACACAGAGTCCTCAGCCAGATTCTCTAAACACTGGGGAAGAACTGGCCTCTCACCGGCTGCTGGGCCAGAGGTCCCAGGACTTGCTGAGTGGCCAGAGACTCGTCTCAGGGTAAGGGGCAGCCCAGAGCGGTCAGCAGCGAGGTTGATCTCAGATGCCCTGGGTAGCACAGGGCCTCTCACCACCACCCAAAGTCTCCCACCACTCCACCCAGCGGCCCTGAGCCTGCACCATGTGATATCAGAAGAACAGAAGCCTTCTTGGTCACAAAGGATAATGTAAGGCCAGTTATATGGCTTGTGATCTCTCCCTACAATTAGCAAACAACGGAAGGCTCCTTGGAGCAGCTAGCCCGATTCTGCCTCAACACTTGGTTGTATTTACTACCGCAGCTCTAACTGCATTTTACCACTAGAGGGCAACAGTGTTTCTAAAATGAGGCATTCCGGCAGAACCAAGCAATCACTCAAACGGAGTTTCAGAACTGCAAGAGGTCTTAAAAATAATTTGGTTCATTGGCTTTCAAAATTATCTGTAGCTGAAACCCACAGCAAGAACAGAATCCTTCATAATGGCCTGGTTCAGAGTAGGTCATTTTAAGGCACTACTTATCCTTCTTCTGCAATGCACCCTAATACTTTATATTCCAAACTATTTTGTTAAAAACAACAAAAAAAACAAAACAACTGTGACCTACTAAGTTGATTTCATAACCCACTAGTGGGGCATTATTTCGAAAAACACTGTCTTGGTCCCAGCCTCTTATCTTACAATGGGGAGCCCTGACTCCTAGGACAGAGAGGGGTCCCTACCAGCCACACTTCCCTCACACACCCAGCTACCTGCTCACCCTGGGGTCAGTCCTGGATGAGAGACGGACGTTGTACAGCAACTGTGCACTCACTCTGAAAAATGCACTAAATGCATAAAGAATGCAAACCCAAGTTTGGGAAATCTGCCACTTTTCACTTCTTGTCAATGCTACCATTACTCTTGTAACTGAAGTAGCAATGCCTTAAGTCACTACATTAACAGCTCCATGCAGGTGGTGTCTGTGCTCCTCATTTAGGCAGCTGAGTGACTGCCTGAAAAGTCAGTGAATCTCAAAAAGATCTTCCTGATGATCCCACCTCAATCTGAATTAGCACCACAGTGTCTAGCCCAATGCCTGGCACATAGTAAGTGCTCAAGAAATTACTGGATGTATGGATTGCCCTTCAGACAGTAGCTAGCTCACATTTGTATCCTTTGCAATTGGTACTTTACATCATCTTACATGACTCTTAAAACACCTGCCATGGTTGGCAGAACATGGATCATTTCCATCCCAAATGGGGAAACAACCAAAGAAGACTTACATGGCCTTCTCTAGATTGTATGGCTCACTGGAGGCAAAGCAGGGGCTGCAACCCGGCTCCCCATTACACCTGCCAGGTGGCTCTCCACATTATGGAAGGGTAGCCCATAGCACTCCCCAGCAGGAATCTGCACTCACTCTCAGCCTCCCCCCAAGGGTCCCGGCATGCCCCCTCACGGGTTTAAGACATGTGCAGCCTCGGGATGCCTTGATCATCATTGGAGGGGGGCTCTCCTTTAGGGCTGGTGTTTGGAGGAGGCAGAGGAATGAAGGAAATTCCACTAAATTCCTGGAAGTAACTGAAAACACTTAGTCTCTACACATTCTTGGCCATGAAAGTCACTGAGCTCTCTTCCTTGGCTCCTTGATTTTAGAATATTTATAACCAATTTTGGAGGAAATGTGAAGATAAACCAAATGACTATAGGAAGTTTCCTTTTTAGGATCATCGTCCTGGGTCCCTCTGTTTATTACCTCCTCCCTTTTATGCATACCTGCCTCTAATTTATTGATTTATCCTCCTCCCCCACACTTTTTGGTCAAAGAGAGGATCCCTTTCAAATTATTGTACTATTCCACATGAAGAATGGTAACTGAGCTCTTTGTGGAAGAGAAAGGGATTTTTTACTTAACTCACTCAGGTTTTGAGAGCTAGTTTGGTTATTTTGTGAAAGATGCCAAGTGTTTGACTAAATGTGTGAAAATGCAAAGTATTTTACTTTTTCTGTGGTCTTGGAAAATTTTTCCTGGAATTTGTGTGGCTCACTGAAGGCAAAGCAGGGGCCACATCTGGGATCCCTGGAAAAATTCCTGGAATTTGAAAACTGGCATAATTTATAATCTGAGTTTGGTTTTCCAAGATGAGTCCTCCCCACTGATCACCAGGGAGCAAATCTTCAGGGATGCCTTCTTAGGACTCTGGGAGGTGGCAGTTGCCTCTCTCTTCTCTCCTTTTTTGACAGAAAGTTCTCAAACTCTGTTTCCTCACTTCTCTGTTGGACTAATAGAACCAAATTTTCCTCCCTGAGATAGCAAGGATTGTTAAAACTTGTGACAAGAATAGGTTGCCTTTTTCTAGGAGCAATTTGATTTCATCATTCAGTAACTTTAGCCACCCTAGCTACAGGATTAAGTCTTTGAGGAACCAAGGCTGAGCTTCCATAAGGCCTTCCCTACTCCTATATCTAACAAACACCAGTTTAGAACAATCGTCAACAAAAATCCTACTTCCCACTCTTCAAAACGATACCTATTCCCACTCTAGATTCTTTGAGGCTGAGTCTGCAGGCTTTGTGGTATATTGGGGGATTACTGGAAAAGCGTCGTTATTTATGGAACAGATTTAGTGTAGCTCTGTAATTGTGCAATCTTCTGTTTGAGAAAGAAAGTATTGTAGCCCCCAAAAGACAAAACGATACCTACAGCTAGCACCTGAGGTCAGGAAGCAGATAGCGAGCTGTGGAGTTCTCGTTCATTCCGTTCACCCAGAAAACAGCCCTGGCTCACTCACTTCCATTAGATTAAAGCAGGCACCAGGATTAGGAAGGTTCCTGTCCAGGCTGACGCAGAAATTCCAGCCATGTTACCCTGCAGCCCTTGGATGGTGGCCTCCAATTAAGAGACAGTACGTCCGCTGTCGGGTACGGGAACTGGTTGAGGTTTTGGAAATTCCACCCGCAGCTTCTGCTGCTGGAACCACTTGTGGGTGGCGCCCTCGGTGACCCTCTGCTCAGCAACCACCTCTGGGTACTACCAGACAAGACCGAGGTTGCCTTTGGGGCCTGTTCCTCAGTTTCCCCATGCACCTCTTCCGCAGGAATGCGAATGCCCTGTGAAAAATCTACGGCCCCCCAGAGGCCAGCTTTCTGCGGACTGTGCGCAGCCACGGGCCCTTCTCCGCCCTGGACACTTCGGGGGCGCGGGCGCACCACGCCGAATGGCCCCCAGCGTCGTTCCCGGCGCAGCTTCCGTGGCGGGGCGGCCGGGCGCGCGCAGGTGTGGCCGCCCGCCCTGAGGCGCGCACTCACCCGGGCGCGGCCCTCCTGCACGGCGGCCAGCGCTCGCAGGGCGCTGGGCGAGCCCACGCGGAAGTTGAAGAAGTGCAGCGCCGCGCGCGCCGCCTGCTCCAGCAGCCCGGGCGGCAGCTCCGTGTCCTGGCGCCACCCCGGCTCCGCGGGCGCCGCCAGCCCCTGGAGGGCGAGCGGCAGCAGCAGCCACGGCCCGAGCAGCAGGGCGGCGGGGCGCGGGCCCCGGGGCCCAGGCGCGGGCGGCGGCGGGCGGCGGTGCTGCATGGGCGCGGGCGGGCTGGCGCGTGGCTCCCCCGGTCGGGCTGGGAGCCGCCGGCGCGGGCGCCCGAGGAAATAAGGCCGCGGCGGGCCCCTCCCCCCGCCCCCGGCGCGGCCCGCGGAGGGGAGCTCGTCCCCTGCGGCGGGCCCCTCCCCCCGCCCCATCCGCCTGTGCCCAGAGCGCGGCCCGACGCCGGCCCGCGGGGCTGCGGGTGTCCGAGCCTGGCCACGCAACAGGGGCGACGTGGGCCGTGGGGACCCCTCCCCGGGGACAGCGCGCAGCCTCTCGCCTCTGCGGGTGCTGCGATTTGGAAACCCTTCGCTTTCAGAACGAAACCCTTCAGTTCCCCAAGGCTTGGAGCTGTCATTTCCCAGAAGATGAAATTGGGATGGTTGGGGAAGGGGCGGGACACAGCCACATGGATAGTGGGGTCGCCGTGGCACAAAAGACCTTGGAAGTGGGACAAGTCACCAGATAGCTGGGGGGCTGAGGGGGTCAGCAGGACAAAGTCAGATAAGGACCGAGAGGCCTCCCTGGACTTAGGAACAAGGAGGTCAATGACAGCCTTGGTGCGAGGCAGATTTAAAGGCTGGGGGTACAGGCCGAATTCCAGAGGGGTGAGGCACGGGTGGGGCTTTAGGGCACTGGAGGCAGAGAACTTTGACAACTCTTTTTAGACACGTGGCAATGAAGGGATGAGATGGCCATTTTTTTAAGCTACAGACAAGAGAGAGCCCAGGAGAACCAGAGATTAGAGGGTAAAACTGGTACTGCTAGGCACTTCCAGCATCCATTTCTCCATGTCTCTCCCCATGTTTCGCCGTCCCTCCCCAACAACCGCTGACCCCAGCCTCACTAGAGGAAGTCTTTCCTCCCTGTCAGGGACTGGCTGGCTGAGTGATTCTGGTGGAGATATGGGAGAAGCCCCAGGGTGATGGGTGTGAACACCATCACGAAAATATGCTCTCCCACTTCTTCCCCTGGATGTTGTCCATCTTTGCATGTCTTTGCTTCTGCAGATATTTTTGGGACACCTACTCTAGGGGAAATGCATCAGATAAGCATCCCTTCCTTCCTGGAGCACACCTAGGCAGGTGGGCCCGATGAGAGAAATAAGGAATGTGCCCTATGTGGATGCAGTTACATGCTGTGGAGTTACATCCTGGACAGAGATGGGGAGTTGGGGGGTGGCTGTAATTTTAAATACTATGGTTACGTAGGTCTTATTGGGAAAGTGATATTTGAGTAACTAAAGTGATATTTGAGACCTGAAAGAGATGAGGGAGCCTGGTGGACATGTTTGGGAAGAGCACCCTAGGCAGAGGGAGAGCAAGTGCAGAGGCCTGAGACAGGAGTGCACCAGCATGTGTGAAGACGGGCAAGTGCAGCTGGAAGAAGACTGGGGGAGGGTGTGAGGATGAAAACTCAGAGGGAGGGACAAGGGGGAATAAGGCAGACCGCGCAGGACTTGATAGGCCCTCATGGTGCCTGATGGGGCATCAGGAAGTATGCCCCTATCTTGCTAGCAGCCTGAGAATGAAGCCCACTTGAGGAATGCCTGAGCCAAGAGAGGGAAGGACACTGCATTCCTGATGACACTGTTGATCCTGGAGCTCATTTCTTAAGTGCCTAAAGTTTCTCTTTCTTGCTGTGAGAGGCAGCCTAACAGATAATTATTCACCCAGAAGCCAGTCATCTTCCTCTCAAAGGCTTCCTGAGAATTTATCACCTTTTGGTTTTATAAATGTTAAATTTTTCTTATTTTATTTCAGTGCTTTGCCCCCCGTGAGTATTAGGCTGATTTTAGGTTCAAGTAATAGCAAAACTGATAAACATTGTGGAGTGGTGTGGAGTGGAAGGCTCAGGGATGGTTTGGATACTCGGTGAATTTTGGAAGGGGTCAGGCTCTTTCTATCCTTCTCCACAGCTATCCTCAGCTGGTTGTATTTTTGTCTACAGACTTGCAGTTTCTTGATTATAGAATAGCTACCACAGCTCCAGACAGCATATCTTCAGATGCTGCAAACAAAGGCAGGAGGCTGGGAGTAGGCCTCCATGGTGGCAAGAGAACTCTATGACATATACCTGTTTGTTTTTTATCAGAGAAGAAAACTCTTTTCCAGAACCTGTTCTTCCACCCTGCTCCCCACCAGACCTTCCCTTATGTCTTAGTGGTCAGAACTGGGTCACACTGGCAATCCCTAGCCGCAAGGGAAGCTGGAAAGGCTAGTATCTGCCTTTCTTCAGTCTCTATAGTGGTGGTCTGCTCTAAAAGTTAGGATTGATGAGCTATATAGACCCAAAAAAAATGACATTTACTTAAACAAGAGAGAAATTTAATTGCCACATAAAAGGAGTTGGGATGGGAACAGCTGGCAATCTGTGGTTGGTATTGGCAGCTCCATGAAGTTGTTAGGAGTCTAGCCTTTTCTCAGATCTTGGCTCCCACATTCCAAGAGTGTGCTCCCTGTCCCTGGAGTCCAAGATGAACTCTAGCCATCAGCAAGAGCTCCTTTTTATGGACTTCCCAGAAGTCACACAGAGTGTTCTTGCTTATATCTCATTTTCAAGAACTTAGTCATAGTCTTAGTTGCAAAGGAGGCTGGGAAATGTAGTCTTTATTCAGGAAGGCCATGTGCCTGAATACAAGTTGGATTCTGTTACTAAGGAGGAAGGCTGTGTCTTCCATTGGGTGTCTCAGAAGCAGGCCCTGAGACAAAGACTGCACGTGACTGAAACACTCCCAGAAGAAACCAGTAAGGAGCCTAGCAAGCGAGGATCTCAAAGTTACGTGAAGGGGATCCTGATCCCCCTTCACCAAATCTGAAATGGTGTTCTGGAATGTAAATGATGCCTCAGAATTGTCCCCATCAGGCAGGGGATCTGTGCTTAATTACTTCTTCCCAGTCATTGACTAGGGGCCACCCTGGGTGATAGACCAGGCACTTCCAGCTCTCACAATGTGAGTGCACAGGGGCAGGAGCCCAGAAAATGCCCTTCTGGGAAGATTCACAGGTACCTCGGGTTGGATGCAAAAAACATGGCAAGTGGTAGGGGTGGAATCTGGGAAAAGGATCCATAGAGGCCCTGCAGAGAGACTGGAGAATGGCAGGCGAGTAGCAATCTTTATCACTGCAGTCAGGATGAGGAGGGATGGGAATAGCGATGGGGGAATTAGTACCAGGGAGATGGTGAGAATCATAGAAAGTCATAAATAGGAGGGAAGACAGACACACAGAAAAGACCAAGGAAGCAATGCTGCCGTGTGATGTAGGAGAGTCTCCCAAGGCCCGTTGTTTTTAATAGCAGTAGGAACTACAATTGGGGCAGATTTATGTTGATCAGGAACTACATTAAAAATTTAATTAAAGCATTCATTTTACCCATGGACTTTCTGGAACACAGGATATTTCTGTAACTGAGAACTATCTGTTCATGATCTTTGTCCATTTTTCTTTGGGGTCCTTGGACTTTGAACTGATTCACAGGAACCTTTTTAACACTGAAGACATCAGGCGTCAGTGTGTCATGGCACCACTGATTGTTTTTCCTCATTTCGTATATGGCATTTGTGTGTCCGGATTGTTCTACTTTGCCAAATACCATGTGCATTGGTGGTACTGTTAACTGCACAGAAGATTCCCCAATGAGCTCATCCTCCTGGGTCACAGGGGCCACCTCCAGGCCGGTCTTTCCCCCTTGGGGATGTCAGAAGACTGTCCCTTTCAGGCAGGAAAGAAAGTCAGAGCAGGTTTTAGCCCCCAGCTCCCACGCAGTAGATGCATCCCCGTCATGTTTCCTCATTCCTTGGTCATTGCTCAGGTTATCATGAGCACACAAATATAGGGGACTTGCTTTATGCTTAAGAAATGTAATGGTATATAAAACTGTAATGACTTTTATTCATAGGAAAAGAATCAGTACAGAGAGTGAGAGAGTAAACTGACACATTTTTGTTGGGCTGTTTGCAATATCCATCAAAATTAGTGATGCACATACTTTTTAGCCCAGCAATTTCACCTCTAGAGCTTATAGTAAAGATAAATTCACACACATGCAGAGAAATATGTATGACAATGTTCAGCTCCTTGAATATCTCATTTTCAACTCTTTGTCTCTAGAACAATGCCTGGCTTACCGTAGGCACCAACCCTTTTTTGTTTTTTTGAAAGAATGAAGAATAAAAAGCTAGAATAAAAATCTATATGCTGTGATTGAATTATTATGGGACCTCCATCTAGTGGAATACTGTGCAGCCATTAAGAAGGTAATAGATCCCAGTGTGTGGATACTGTACTGAAACATATCTAAGGTGATGTTAATGGACAGCAAGGTTGTTTTTAATAGCAGTAGGAACTACAATGGTACTGTTAACTGCACAGAAGATTCCCCAATGAGCTCATCCTCCTGGGTCACAGGGGCCACCTCCAGGCCGGTCTTTCCCCCTTGGGGATGTCAGAAGACTGTCCCTTTCAGGCAGGAAAGAAAGTCAGAGCAGGTTTTAGCCCCCAGCTCCCACGCAGTAGATGCATCCCCGTCATGTTTCCTCATTCCTTGGTCATTGCTCAGGTTATCATGAGCACACAAATATAGGGGACTTGCTTTATGCTTAAGAAATGTAATGGTATATAAAACTGTAATGACTTTTATTCATAGGAAAAGAATCAGTACAGAGAGTGAGAGAGTAAACTGACACATTTTTGTTGGGCTGTTTGCAATATCCATCAAAATTAGTGATGCACATACTTTTTAGCCCAGCAATTTCACCTCTAGAGCTTATAGTAAAGATAAATTCACACACATGCAGAGAAATATGTATGACAATGTTCAGCTCCTTGAATATCTCATTTTCAACTCTTTGTCTCTAGAACAATGCCTGGCTTACCGTAGGCACCAACCCTTTTTTGTTTTTTTGAAAGAATGAAGAATAAAAAGCTAGAATAAAAATCTATATGCTGTGATTGAATTATTATGGGACCTCCATCTAGTGGAATACTGTGCAGCCATTAAGAAGGTAATAGATCC